GGTGTGAACGATGATCGATAGGTATTGCCGTGCTCGTGGAGGGGTGCGTTGAGGGAGGTGTCGCTTTTGGTGGTGCCGTTGGTGTGAAGAAAGAACAAGGGAACGTGGCGATGTGTGCGTTGAGGGAGTGTGGGAGTGTGGGAGTGTGGGAGTGTGGGAGTGGTCACCAGACGGTATGAGTCTTTCTTCCCTGTGTGTGTGCGTGTGTGTCTGTTGTTGACTGGTGTTGATTGTCGCCAGTCATGCACTCGTACACCCTTTTTCCCCTCACACACCCACACCCACACACCCACACACTCACACACACACACTCACGCGTGCCTTTGCTTGTGTGTTTTGCCCCTCTTCTTCTCTGTCTCCCGATTCCGCCGTTAGGTGTTCGACAACTATGCTGTCACGGTCATGATTGGCGGCGAGCCGTACACACTCGGTCTTTTTGACACAGCTGGTCAGGAGGATTACGACCGCCTCAGGCCGCTCTCCTACCCGCAGACGGACGTCTTCCTTGTCTGCTTCTCCGTCGTTTCCACATCCTCGTTTGAGAACGTCAAGGAGAAGGTGTGTGTGTGCGTGTGCGTGTGCGTGTGCGTGTGCGTGTGTGTTTTGTGATGGGAGTGATTGTTGCACTTTGCCCCCCCCCCTTTTTGTTTTGGTTTTGGTTGGTGCCACCACCTCACCACGTCACCTCACCGACCCCACCCTCCGTGTGTGTTTGTTTGTCTCACTCACTCTCACTCGCACTCACTCTTACTCACTCGCTCTCACTCTTACTCACTCGCTCTCACTCTCACTCTCACTCGCACACACACTGTCTCTATCTGCGGCTGCGTGTGCAGTGGGTGCCGGAGATCCAACATCACTGCCCCAAGACGCCGTTCCTCCTCGTCGGCACGCAGATTGATCTCCGTGACGACGAGCAAACCATCCTCAAGGTGAGACCACACACCAACACCCATGGCTCTTATCTGGGCTTCTTGCTGTTGTCACGCATGCTCTTTCATTCTCTGTTGCCATTTATGTCATTGTCATTGTCAGTATTTGCCCCGTTGTCCTCCTTGTATACGCTCATGCACACGCTCTTGCTCGCAAACCAATCTCAAACCAATCTCACCCCACCACTGCACCACCGCACCACCACTGCCCTTCCCCCCTCAAACAAATCGCAGCTCCAGAAGAGCAAACAGAAGGTTGTGTCGGTTGAGATGGGCGAGAAGCTTGCGCGCGACACGCGGGCAGTCAAGTATGTGGAGTGCTCTGCGCTGACGCAGAAGGGCCTGAAGAACGTGTTTGACGAGGCAATCCTGGCTGCACTCGAGCCACAGGTCGACACCAAGGGCCGCAAGTGCATGCTCCTCTAAACCCTCCAACCACAAGTGTTGCACCTCCTCCACCGTGTTCGTATCGTCTTGGAATTCCGTCGTGCCTTTTATCGCCCGTCCGTTGTCTCTACCCGTCTCGTCTCCCATCTTCTCCCAACAGCGACAGCAACAACGTCCCACCAGATGTGAAGATGTGCAGCTTCCGCGTGATGCTCCAACCACGACAACGGCAGCGACAGCAACACCACCACCAGTTTCAGTTACCTGCGCATTGCTGGTGCGGTGCGGCGAGTGACCCAGCGTGGCAAGTTTGCCTGGATGTTCGTTCATTCATCATAACTCGCTTTCGTTGCGGCGCTTGCAATGTCGATGCTATTGCTGCGTGTGTTTGATTTCGCGTGTGCACTCTCAGTGTGTGTTCTTCGTTGTTGTCTTTAGTTGTCAGGATGGGTGTCTTTCCTTGTGTCAGCTCTCTCCTTGTGTGTCCATCTTTCCCAAATTGCTGGTTTCCCCTTTGCCCCCCCCTTCCCCCTGTTTCCTTTTCTGTATGGCTTGACGTCTTTTTGTTTGTGCTTGAGCTGTGTCTTGCGCGTTGCTCGCCACGCTTTGCGTGTGCGTGTGATGCGTATGTCACATTTGTCCCTTTTGCTTACTGCCCTCTCTGGCGTGCGTGTGAAGTGTCGCTTTCTCTTTTCACTGCACGGCTGTGCTCGTTGCGTGTGTGGTTGATTGTGATGATTTGTCTCTCAAGTGTGCGTGTGTGCGTGTGTGTTCATGCATGTGACCCATGGTTCCCACACATCGTGTCTGTTCCCCCTTTCCCCTTTTGTTCCTGCTTGCTTGGTTAGCCCACCGTGATCACCTTTCATCTCGTGTGAACACATGTGCGTCGTGTGTTGTTGTTGTTGTTGTTGTTGTTGTCGTCGTTGTTTGGCACTGTGTTGCTGGGAGCACGTGCGTGTACAGGTGAACGTGCGTGCGTGTGCATGTGTGCGCGCGTGTGCGTGTGTGCGTGTGTGTGTGTCGAGCTCAACTCTTTAAAAAAAGCGTTTATCTGTCACTGGTCGGTTGCAGCAAGCGAGACGCGATGGTGGGTGTGCGTGTGTGCGGAGAAGGGCAGGAAGCGCAGTCAACAAATGGAGGGCTGAAACTGCAACGCCGTACACGATGCTGGCAAGCGACAAAGAAACATGGAAGCACTCGTGACACATCAAAGGGCAGGCATACAGACGGATAGGCAGGCAGATAGGCAGGTATTGATCAGCAACACGGGTGGTGGTGGTCAGAACATGGCTTTGAGGTTGTTTGCAAGGGCCTTGTTGCCTTTCCTCGCCGAATCCACCTCCCTTTGTTTCAGCTTCTTGTCCAACTCAGCAAGGCCAGGGTCTGGGTTGAGAGAGTGAGTGAGTGCGTGTGAGCGAGAGAGTGCGTGTGTGTGTGTGAATGTGTGAGACAGTGTGTGTCAGTATGCGTGTGTGTGAGTGAGTGAGTGAGTGTGTGTCAGTATGCGTGTGTGTGTGTGTGTGTGTGTGTGTGTGTGTGTGTGTGTGTGTGTGTGTGTGTGTGTGTGTGTAAATCCGCGTACCATCTGGGGAGAGTGTCATGGCGTGGTCCAGGTCGCGACGGCACAGCAGCTGCTTGTTCAGGTGGTAGTACGCCTGAGCACGGCAATTATGGGACATTCCCGTGCATCACGGTGTCGATGAAAGTCAACGGGGTGGTGGACGTGAACATTGTGGGGGGAGGGGGCAGCGAAGGAGCATGTGGAATGGGATCAAACCGCACGCAAGCACACATACCATTGCATGAACAGACAGTCAGGCAGCTAGCGAGGGAGGGGGACAGACACATGCACAGACAGACAGGCAGCCAGCCAGGCAGACAGACAGACACGCACACAGACAGACAGACAGACACACACACACACATACACACACACACACACACACACACACACACACAGACACAGAGACACAGAGACACAGAGACACAGAGACACACAGACACCGCGCACCTTGGCGCGACGCATGAATGCTTTGGCGTTGTCTTCAAAGTCCAACACTTCGGTGCAGAGCTCAATCACGCGGGCCCAGTTGCCCTTCTTCAGATGGCACACTAGCAGGGGATATGCAAGGCATGTCAAAACCACAGCGTGAGCAGTGCTTGAAGAGGGAAGCGCACCAGCTGATGCTGCAGAGTGGCGCTAAAGAGGCTTGACTATGAAGAAGAGAGCGGCGGGAGCCACAAGGCCAAAGCTGCGGCACTGTCGTTCGCCTGTGTAACAAGAATGTGGTGCACGAGAGCAAGGCAGGGCCAGGGCATTGGCGGTGGTCGCACCTGAGAGGTTGTTGACAACAGGGACGTGTGCAGCACACACTTTCTTCTGCAAAGGCGACATCCGAGCGCTTCGCTCTTCAAAGTCGTCCTCACTCCGCTTCCTTTGTATGGGGGTTGTCGCCTTCACGGCCAGCCGTGTGTGCAAGTGTGCCTGCAGGTCGAAGGCATGCACCATGCCACGCACAAGCATGTGATGAGCGATAGCATGGCGAGAACATGGGCACGAATGCAGGGAAGCGCGCAGACAGCCATGCAGTCAGACAGGCGAGCAGGCAGACACACATACACACACATATGCACTGCCTCGTCGACACATTCCCTCATCGACACACACACACACACACACACACACACACACACACACACACACACACACACACACACACACACGAAAAGGCGCGCACCATATGATATGACCGCAAGGCCTTCTTCATGTCGCCCGCCTTCAGCGCCTCGTTGCCGGCATTCTTGAACACCTCTGCTTTCCTCAGTTGCTCCAAGGCAAGCTCCTCGTTCTCTTTGCTTCCCTGAGTGGCGTCCTGCACGGCACTGAGGCCCTTTGGCTCCGACATGGCTGGCGGTGTGTGGCGGTGGTTGTGGTGATGGTGGGTTGTTTGTTTGTTTGTCTCTTGCTTGCTGCTTGATTGAATCACAACTTGTTCCTGTGTTTACGACAGGCATCGTGCGTTGATGGAGAGATTGGGGGAACGAGAGAACTGGGGAGGAGAACAGCGTATGACACCCACTAACAAGCAACCACACACACACACACACACACACACACACACACACACACACACACACACACACACACACACACACACACACACACACACGTGTCAAGATCACTTGGAGAGGGTACGGGCAACCCAGTCCTTGACAAGCTTGGCCCCCGCCTCGCCCTGCAGGAGGGAGAGAGAGACAGTGTGTGTGTGTGGGGGGGGGGGACAGTGGATGAGGATCAGGAAACATAACATGTGTCATGCACAAGAAGACAAGAAGACAAGAAGCAAGAAGACAAGAAGCAAGAAGACAAGAAGACAAGGAGACAAAGACGTCACACACACAGGCACACACACAGGCACACGCACACACACAGATACACACACGCACGCGCAAATGGCATGAGAGCGCACCTGGTCCTTGAGGGAGGTAAGTTCAAAGTCAATCCTGTTGGGCAGTTGCGAAAACTCAAACTCCTCCGCATCCTGCCGAGTCGTGGTGATGGTGATGGTGATGATAGTGGTGGTGGTGGTGGTGTGGAAGCAGTGACGATAGGCAGTGGGGATGAGCGCACGACTACATTTAAATACGCACACACACACACACACACACACACACACACACACACAAACAAACAAACAAACAGCACACCTTTGAGCCAAGAAAGACTGCTGCGCCCTCTGCTTCGTCCAGACCAGCCACATCAGCACTTTTGCCATGACCATGCGAGCAAGGGGTGTGGATGAGCAACGAACAGAAGCAAGTCCCATCTGTGTGTATGCACAAGCGTGTGCGCCGGTTGGCTACCTTCTGGTCTGTCTGATTTGTGTGAATTCGTTCTGCAGTTTCTGCACAATGCGCTCAACCTTTCGCGGCGCCGTCACCACATCCTGCATATCAACACAGACTTGAGGTGAGCACTGCTGGAGGAACGAGATATTGTACAGCTCTTGTCATAGAACACGTGCGTACGCATACGGATGGGCACACACACATATGTACGTACACACGCATGTGCACACATGCACGCACACACACACATGCACACATACACACACACACACACACACGCACACGCACATGTACGTACACACGCGCACACACACACACATGCACACACATGCACACACATGCACACACGCACACACAAGACAGACACTCAAAACGAACCTGCTTGTTGCAGAGGACAAGAACCGGCATGGCCTTCATGTCTTTGCTTGCAAGCACATCGTAGAGAAACTCGGCCACGGGGCGGGCGCCACGCAGCACTGTGGACGAGTCAAGCACATACACACACGCCGCACAGGACGCCGCAGACTCCCCAAGATATGTGCTGCCCATGGGATTGTGGCAGCACCAGCGCAGGCACACGCGGCACAGTCGGTGAGTGCGCGTGCACACATGACATTGTGAAATTGAAGAGCCAAAAGCACTTCAAACGCCAAACACACGCACGGTGCATGTGCTCACCCTCGAAGTCGCTCGTGGCCTGGGATGTCCTTCACCTTGAGCGACTGCAGAGCAGACAAGGCGGAAGGAAGTCATGAGGTGTGTGAGGTTGGTTCCAATAGCATGCTCCCCCCCCTGTATGCGTACGCGACGGTTTGCTGTGACAACACACACTGCGCGCACCTGGTTGATGGAGGTGTCGAGCTCCAATGCAGCCTCGTTCGGCTTCAGCGATGTCTGGGTCGGCATTGCTTGCCCCGTCGTGAGCTGCAGTCGTTGTGATTGGGACGCAAAGATGAGCAATGCGATGCAAAGACACATGAAGACAAACCGGCCTACAACACAACCTGTGGCACCCATCAAACCCAGACGACAACGCTGTGGACGCACCAGGGAAAACAGCGTTGTTTTTCCCGTGCCAAGGGGACCCACAAGCAGGACAGTATCTCGCTTTGCCTTTGCTTTTCCTCGCAACAGGAACACCACCACTGGAATGGAACAAGGCACGCACATGTGAGGGCATGCAAACACGGCACTGCTTGCTCAGACTTACAAGCGGAGCACACAGGGACAAGCAGAGGTGGGGAGATAGAGGGAGAGTGGGGCAGAGAAACAGATGTGGGGGAAATCGACACACGTGCGCTCGCACAGGAACAGATACACACACACAGACAGACACGCACGCACACAGGCACACACAGACACACACAGACACACATCGCAGACACACCACAGACAGACATGCACACACACACAGACACACACATCACAGAGTGCCGTACCGACTGCCAAGATGCCGAGGACGGCCAGACCCAGCAAGGCAAAGAACATCATGTCATCCTCCACCACTCCACCAGCTCCATCCATCTTTGTCATCTCCTCTCGCTCGTTGCTGCGGTGTGTGGCACTCAAAGTTGTGAAAAATAGTGGAAAATATTGCCACTTATCGGCGGTTATGGCGGCGAAGAACTCGGATGCGTTTGCTCGCATCAACTTCCTCATGCAGGTGAGTGAGTGTGTGTGTCTGTGTGTGTGTGAATGTGCGTGCGTGCGTGCGTGCGTATGTGTGATTGAGTTCGCGGCACAACACATCAATGCACACTACAATGGCTGCCTGGACATAACCGCTTCCCAGCTGACCCTGACACTGGTGTAAGTGTAACCACTGTTGCTCACACACCACTGCTCACACACCACTGCTCACACACTACCTCTCACACACTGCCTCGCTGCATCCAAGGCGTCTGCGCTTGCCCTGTCAAAGTTCCCGCAGTCGAAAGAGCTCTCTCGCTTCTACACCACACATGCCACGCAAATTGCCCAGAAGAAAGTGCTTCGCTTGTAAGTGTGTGCATGTGTGTGTATTTGTGTGTGTGTGAGGACGGAGGTGACTCAACGGTTCGTGCTGTTGCCCACGTCCGGTTGAGGGCGTTGTTTGCGGTTGTCCTCCGCTGCATTGCTGTGGGTTCACACGCACGTGGTTTGCCCTTTTCGCGCCCTTGCCAACACCCTGCCAGGCACAAGAGCATGAAACGGTCCATCTGCAAGAAGTGCTCCACGTTGCTCCGACCCGGTGTCACGGCTCGTGTCCGCACAGCCCGTAAGTGACAGTTTGTGTGTGTGTGTGTGTGTGTGTGTGTGTGTGTGTGTGTGTGTGTGTGTGTGTGTGTGTGTGTGTGTGTGTGTGTGTGTGTGTGTGTGTGCGTGCGTGTGTGTGTGTGTGTGAATGTGTGTGTGTGTGTGTGTGTGAGTGTGTCTGTGCCTGTGCTCTCTCTCTCTCTCTCTCTCTCTCTCTCTCTCTCTCTCTCTCTCTCTCTCTCTCTCTCTCTCTCTCTCTCCCCGTGCTTGACTTTGGATACAGGTGTCATCAATCAAACAGTCACTCTACTGCCGTTGAAATTCATTGATGTTTTCGCTCACGTGCTGGTTTCTGCATCACTGTCTTCCTGTGTCCAACAACACAAACACACGCGTTTTTTCAGCTCGTCGCGAGAAGCACGTTATTGTGACCTGCTTATACTGCGGGAATATGAAGCGGTTCCATTGTTCCACAGTCAACAAGTGGAACAACACGGACACCTTCGTTAGCTCCTAGACCTTTTCGCACTGCAACCCCAACACACACACACACACACACACACACACACACACACACACACACACACACACACACACACACACACACCACATCCCTCTGCGCACCGTGTACACATGATATCGATAGGTGAACGCCAATAAACGGCCTTGTATTGAAGATGGGATGAGCAAGTGGGAAATGCAACGAAACTAAAAGTGGAGATCTGAGCAATAGTACAAGTGACCGAGGTCAAGAAGAGGCAAGGAAGGGGGGGGGGCAGAGAAGCCAGCAAGCAAGCATGCCAAGAGACGGCTGGTATGGACAACAGTGCACGTCAACACGTGAACATGTGATGTGACTTGCGCATGGGCGCCACGACACAACAGCGAACGCCATTTGGTGTGTGGATCAACATCATGGAAGCATGTCCAACAAAGGTGCACGTGCGCACACGTACAAGCGAGCAACCAGGGCGGGGTAGTGCGTAGCTCAAACACACGCGCACGCATGCACATGCACATGCACATGCACATGCACACACGCACACACAGATCGGCTACTCTTGTTGCGATGGGTAGTGCTGAGGTGCGCGCGGGGGCGAGGATGATGATGCAGAAGGCGGCAGGAACGACACGGCTGATGTCGTGGTGACAGCTGCGTTGGCCGTGGGTGAAGGTCTCATGTGCAATGCCGCCACCTGCTTCATGAGCTGCTGCGGGTCCATCCCAGGCTCCATCTCAACCTCCATCCCATCTTGCCCCGTCATTGGCGCCGTCGTTGTTGTTGGTGTCGTCGCTGTTGGCGGTGTGAGCATGGACTTGTCGACACCAACCACGCGCATCTGCGTGGCTGTGGTCGCGTCCTCCCTTCCATCATCATCATCGTCACCAGCGGTGGCTGTCGCCATCATCATCTTCATCTTCATCTTCATCTTCATCAGCATCGCATCCTTTGCTGTCGCCGCAACAAGGCCACCGCGATGGAGCTCTGGCTCTTGTTGGCCACGATGATGACGATGGTGACGATGGGTGCGTGTTCGCCACACCTGCCGCAGCGCTCGCTGGTGCACGGCGGTGGCGGCCTCGTCGGTGTCGGTGGCCGGCTGCTGTGGAACAGAAACAATGCAGCGCAGGAACTGCACGCCCGTTGTCGTGTTGAGCAGCACCATCAGGTCCCGTTCGCGCACAGATGCGCGCAGCACCGCCAGTGACACGCCCGTCACGTCGGCCGGTGGGAGGTGGAAGTCCTGCAGAACACGCGCGCGCCAGCCGCTGTCCACGTGATACACACGCAGCAGCGCTGCCCGGGCGCGGGCCGGCTGTGTCGATGGTGGTGATGTCGATGGTGGTGAGGTCACATCGTCACCGTGATCCATGCCATCACCACCACCACCACCACTGCCAACACCACCACTGCCACCGCCCTCATCACCATCACCGTCATCGTCATCGCCATTGTCGCGATCGTGGCTGCCACTGGGTGCGCGGAAGAGCGCGGCGACGAAGCGGCCACATGGCGACAGCACCGGCGGATATGCAAGCAGTCGCTGCTCCGCCCGCGTCAGTTCGTGGTGGCACAGCAGCGAGCCCACCGCAAGGCTGGGTGCGGTGGTGGTCGTGCTGATGCTGGTGGTCATGGTGGTGGCGCTTGTGAGGGAGGGGGACTTGCGGCTGTGGAAGGTAGCGGGTGTCGGGTGCATGTGGTGCATGTGGTGTTGTGGGTCTGAGGTCGGAATGCCTGAACGGTTGCGGTGATGATTGTCCTGCTCGCGGTCCTCGTCCTCAGATTCATCATCGTCATCGTCATTGAGTGCGCTGCCATGAAGTTGAGCAACGACATCATCCTCCTCATCGTATTCGTCCTCGCTCGAATCATCCATCGCATCCACGTCATCACCTTCACCGCCAGCAACACCACCAAAGGCAGCGTCACGGCGGCTGACAATGGTGGCGTCGTCAACAACGTCCAGCATGGTGTGCGCGTGGGGCGTGCTGCCATGGCATGCGTTGATGCTGCAGTACGAAAACCCGCGCATGGTGCTCTGAAACAAAACGCCCATCAGTCCTCGCCTTGCATCTTCTTCCATCGCACCCTGCGCCACAACATCGGCGGTGGTCGGTAGAATTGATGCGTGGAACTTCCTCATCCTCGCCCCACCAGCATCCTCACCATCGACACCATCATCATCGACACCATCATCATCAACAACAACACCAGCACGGTCGAGGTGGTGATCGGGAAGCACAGGCTGCAGTGCCAGCGGCGGTGCGCGTGCACATGTGCCACCAAGCGCTGCGATGGTGACACAGCCACGCTCTTCCTCACACGCCAGCAGCAGCCGGGTCGTACACTCCACATGCGACGGCGGCGTGTCCACCGCACACACGAACGACAATGTCTGCTGTGCGGCTCCAAACGGACCGGCGCTGTGATTGTCGTCACCACCACCGTCTCCATCACCACCATCATGCTTGCAGCCCCGCATGGCCCAGCAGCGACCAGCGCTGTCAGCCATGCACATGAACACATCGCCATCGTGCTGCTGTTGCTGTTGTTGCTGTTGCTGTTGTTGTTGTTGTTGCTGCTGTGCGCTGCTGCTTGCGTCATCATCCATCACATCCATACCATCATCCATTGCATCACCACCACTGTCATCCTCGTCATTGGTGTCGGCGACTGCAAAGGCAGCAGCCACCAGCACCGCGTCACCGCCATCACCATCTCTGTAGTTGCCGTTGACGTTGCCAGTGCGTGATGGGATGCATGCATGCATGGCTGGGCCATGCTGCACGTCAACAGCCGGGAGACCAAAGCTGCGTGCTTTGCGACTGCTTGACGATGACGATGACGACGACGATGTTGATGGTGTTGATGGTGTTGCTGCGCTTGCTGCGGTTGTTGTGGTTGTGGTTGCATACACGTCCACGTGGCTGGTGTGCACGACAGCAACGCGGGCACCATCTGGGGAGAGCAGCACCGGGGCAGCTGCACGCGTCACCACTGGGATGTGGGTTGTTGTTGTGCGGTTCGTACACGGAGCCGTCAACACCACCCGCGCCACCTGCTGTCCTGCCGCGGCATGCGCTGGCGCGTGTTGTGGTGCTGGTGCCACGGGCGTGACGTCCACGATGGCGCAGAGGTCCTCAAAGCCCGGGCGGGCGGCGTGGATGTGCGAGGACGACGGCGATGCGCTGACCGTGGGCACAAAGCGGCGGTGGCCGAGATGGGGTGCGCTGCGCAGCATGTAGAAGTCGGTCTGGGCCTTGGTGAGGGAGAGGATGATGGACGCTCCGTCAATGAAGCGGGTGCGGTACAGCCGCTGGCGCATGCGCTTGCCTGTCTTGGTCAGCTTGTTCGTGCGTGTGTATGGCGCTGGGATCTGGATGACGCCGGCAGGCGTGGCGCTGCCCTTATCGTCACTGCCCCCATCGCCGCGGCCACGAGACGAGCCACCATCCACACTGCCACGACCACTGCGGCGACCACGACCATCACCGCTCTCACCAGTGCCATCCACGAGTGTGAAGGAGGGTGGTTGCGGTGTGCACGTGACGAGGTTGGTTCGGTTCTTCTGGGTGATGAGGACGGCGGCCCCATCCGGCGAGAGATGGAGGTCCTCCACGTCGTGACTGATGCGGTGCTGCTCCCGGTTGATCACTTGAACACGCGCGTACGAGAAGCTGCGCACGCCAACAGCGAGCATGGACGACGACGATGATGGCACAGATGCAGACGGCGACAGCGATGGTGAGGGTGCCACCACGGTGAGGGGATGCGTTGGTGCTGTCTGCCATGCTGTTGAGGAGGCCGGGATGGCGCTGCGTCGGAAAACGTGCACGCCCGTGTTCTTCTCCGCAACGGCCATGACAGAGCCACACACCGTCACGTCCACGTGCGTGATGTGCAGGTCGCTGCGTTGTGCGTGTGGGAACAACACATCCGTCACCTCGCGTGTCGTCATGACTGGAGACGCCGTGTCTGCCGTGTCGGTCGAGGTGGCCATCGCGTTTGCTGCTGTTGCGTTTGTTGCTGTTTGTGGCGGTGATGGTGTGGGTGAGCCCCTCACTGCTTGGCCAAGCAGGGTGAAGAGTGGCTGTGGCTGGCGGGTCGTTGGTGGTGGTGGTGGCTGCGATGTTGACGATGGCGTTGGTGGTTGTGGGTGGATGGTTGTGCTTGGCGCCAAGAGGGCCATGGCTGCGCTTTTGCTTGGAGAATCAGCAAAGGCTTTGGGCGTGGTCGCGTTGCCAGTGGTAGCTGTGTTGTTGTTGTTGCTGCCGCCGCCGCCGCCGCTGCTGTTGTCCGAGATGCGTGACAAGTCGTGGGCAACGACGGCGTGCTGGCTGGCCGAAAAGGCGAGCTGCACGCTTGAGGCGATGCAGACGGAGACGATGGGCCCCTCGTGCGGCAGGGACGCCGGCTGTAGGACGACAGACGTGCGGTCGACGAGGTGCCAGAGCACGATGGTGCCGCTGGTGTCGGCGGTGATGGCGCGTGAGCCCGTGCTGCTGATGGTGAGGCTCGTGATGGTGGAGAGGTGGCGCTTGCACGACCAGATGACCTCTGGCGCGAACTGGAACTCGGGCGACACCCTGATGGTGAAGAGCGTGGTGGCGTCGGTAACAACGGCAAAGCGGGCGTCTGCGGTGAGCGCTGCGCCCGTGAGCGGGGAGGAGTGGCGCCAGTAGCTGTCACGGGCCTGCACGGGGTGCACAAAGCGCACGCGATCACCAAGCACCTCTGCCACCAGCTGCCCGTTGCTGCTTGAGGCCAGCTGCACGATGTTTGGCAGGGCGCGTGCGCCGCCGGCGCCTCGCTCCCATCGCTCCCATCCCTGTCGGTGGAGAAAGTGTGGCGAAGGGTCTTGGAACAAGCTCATCCTTGCTTGGTTCGCGGTGGGAAGATGGGGGAGGGGGGTTGGCGAGGCTTTGGTGGATGTGTTGCTTGTTTGTGGTGCTTGCTTGTGTTTTTTGCTTGGTTGTTGGCTGCCTTGGTTGGGCGGCAACACAGCAACAAAGTCAGCGGTGTAGATGCTACTTGTTGTTGTTGTTGTTGTTGTTGTTGTTGTTGGTGGTGGTGGTGGTGGTGGTGGTGGTGGTGGTGGTGTGTGTGTGTGTGTGTGTGTGTGTGTGTGTGTGTGTGTGTGTGTGTGTGTGTGTGTGTGTGTGTGTGTGTGTGCTTCACAGCGACCGCAGCATGAAGTCACAACGGCAACACGGTGCGGTGTGGCTGTGGTGGTGGTGGTGGTGGTGGTGGCTGTGGTGGCACACTGCGTCGTCGGACGAGCGGTCCAGACGTCAAAGGTGCGGACAGCAAACACAAAGCGTTCTTGAGGAGGTGCACCCTTCTGTGGATGTTTGAGGGCGACGAGGGAAGGGAAGGAAAATGGGGAAAGGGAAAGGCTGACCACCTGGTCGGCTGCCAAAGATTATGTCGTCGGCGGTGGTGTGAAATGATGTGAGGCCACAAAGCAACCCACAACAAGAGGGCGCGTGGTGGTGGAGTGGTTGGTGAGGTGCTTGCGAGCGCTGCGTGGCAGACGGCAGGTGCAAGCGTAAAGTGGAGGGGAGAAGTGGGAATTGGATGAGCGGAAGTGAGAGCCTGCACGAAGCAACCAAAAAAAAAAAGAGCACAGCTTCGCAAAAAACAACAACAAAGAAGAAGAAGGGGAAGGCGAAGATCGCCGACGCACGAAGCCACGCAGGACAAGGAGGGACATGCAACGGAAGACAAACAGACAAAGCAAAAAGCAGCAAGCAAGCCAGAAGAAGAACAATACACACACGCGCGTGCACGAACCAAACAAAGAAATAGCGGGACGACGGAAGAGAGAACGTGCAAGCTAGCCCCGGCACGCAGCACACGCACAAGCAATGCAATGTTGGGTGTGTTGTGTCTGCTGCTGTGGCTTGTGCTTCGCCTGCTTCTTGCTTGGCAATTTTTTTCTCCGTCGTTCTTTTCGCGTCGAACATTTGTGGAAGATTTGCATTTATTTTCTGGAAACGGACACCGTGTCCACCATTTGCCCAACCAGTCACGACATGATGACGTGGCGTGGAGTGTTTGGCTCGGTTTGTTGTTGTTCGTTGTTGTGTTGTTGTGTGTGGGTGTGTGTGTGTTGGTGGACAGAAGAGGCAAGCAAGAGGAAGCAAGAGGAAGGAAGAGCAGTGGTGAAGGAAGAGCAGTGGTGAAGGAAGAACAGTGATGGAGGAAGAACAGTGAGGGAGAACGAAAAGATACCCACGCAAACACACATACACACGCACAACAACAATACACACACACACTGCTTGATTGGAAGTTTAGGCCATCATATCGTCGTCGTCGTTCTCGAACAAGTCTGCACGTTGCACACGAGTGCACATTATGTGTGAGTGGACACAGCACAGGGTGCGGGTTGCAACCGCGTTGAAAGGGTGTCCCAGCAGCAGGCAGATGCACATACAAGCGGGTAGGGGGTTGATGACTCACTGTACTTTTGACGAATCGCATCGCGGCGCGCAGAGTTTTCCTCCCGACTGCACACGTGGTTGTGTGTGTGTGAGTATGTGTGTGTGTGTGTGTGTGTGTGTGTGTGTGTGTGTGTGTGTGTGTGTGTGTGTGTGTGTGTGGTAGAGGGTGAGTGAGTGAGTAAGAGAGTGTGTGTGTGTGAGTGAGACACACACACACACAACTTCACAACGGACAACGGACATCAGGTCAACGCACGCAACCAGCACATCACAACAGCAGCAGTCAACAGTCAGCAGTACCACGCGTCACGTTCACGCACACGCAAACACAGCCACAAAGGGGAAGAAAGAGAAACCCCAAACAAGGAAGGAGGAGCAACAACAGCCACCCGGCCAGGCCGCACCGAAGTCGCTGGCGCTCTTCGCGGCTGCGGCGGGCGCGCGCTTCCTTCCGTGACTCCTTGTACGTGTACACGCTGCCGTGATGGTGGTGATGGTGGTGGTGGTGGTGAGAGGGTGTGTGTGTGTGTGTGTGTGTGTGTGTGTGTGTGTGTGTGTGTGTGTGTGTGTGTGTGTGTGTGTGTGTGTGTGTGTGTG